ATCACATGACACTGCCCTCTGTACCATCGAGGACCCTGATAGGGAGGATTTCTTTAACACAATCTGCAGTGTTTCCAAAGAATAGTGTATGGAAAGGGAAAGCAGTTACCCAAGGATGGGAAAACAGGCAAATGCCGCCATAACCCAAGAGATCAAGGTCAACATTGTCGGTGACATCATGTAGCTATCAAGTAACCCCAGGTATGATGTGATGAGGAGGACATCTCACCTCTGAGGTCTTCCCCCCAAAACCCATAAATTCAGTCCGATCATGAGAAAATACCAAATAAAAATAAGGGACATTCTATACAGTACCTGACTGGTAATCTTCAGGATTATAAAGGTCATGAGGGGAAAAAAGGACTAAAAAATCAAAACCAAATAAAACAAAACAGACTGAAGATCAGGACCCTAAGATCCCAAGTGTGACGTGGGATCCTGACACAGAAAGAAGGACGTGACTGCATATGCACACCCATGTTCATAACAGCGTTATTCCCAGTAATCAAAAGGTGGAAAGACACCAATGTCCATTGATAGAGGAATGAATGAACAAAATGTGATCTATCCATACAATGGAATATTAATCTTAAGAGGGAAAGGAATTCTGACATGCTACAATGTGGCTGAACCCGGAAGACATGCTGAGTGAAAGAAGCCAGACTCAAAAGGACAAATACCGTATGACTCCATTTACATGAGGTTTCCAGAATAGGCAAATTCACAGAAATGGAAAGTGGGATGGTGAGTTCCAGGAACTGGGGGAGGGGAGAATGCAGAGCTGTTTAATGAGGACAGAGTTTCAGTTCTTCAAGATGAAAAGAGGTCTGGGGACAGATGGTGACAGCTGCCCAACAGTGTGAATGTATTCTATCCCACTGAGCTGTGCACTTATAAGTGGTCAAAATGGGGGCGCCTGGGTGGCTCAGAGGGTTAAAGCCTCTGCCTTCGGCTCAGGTCGTGATCCCAGGGTCCTGGGATTGAGCCCCACATCGGGCTCTCTGCTCAGCAGGGAGCCTGCTTCCCCCTCTCTCTCTGCCTGCCTCTCTGCCTACTTGCGATCTCTGTCTGTCAAATAAATAAAATCTTTTTTTAAAAAATGGTCAAAATGGGGAGCACCTGGGTGGCTCAGATGGTTAAGCATCTGCCTTTGGCTTGGGTCATGATCCCAGGGTCTGGGGACAGAGCCCTACGTTGGGCTCCCTGCTTGGCGAGGAATCTGCTTCTCCCTCTCCCTCAGCCTGCTGCTCCCCCTGCTTGTGTGCTCTGTCTCTGTCTGTCTCTCTCTCTCTCTCAAATGAATTTTTTTTTTAAATGGTCAAAATGGTAAATGTTATGTGTACTTTACCACAATTTTCCCTCAATGGTAACATCTTACCAAACTCTAGTGCAATTTCACAACTGGGATATCGGCATTATTATAGGCAAGATATAGAGCAGTGCATTATCACCAAGACCCTTCTTGATGCACTTGATCTACACCCATCCCCCACCCCCACCCCATCCCTGCACACTGGCAGCCTGCTGTTCTCATTCCTATAATTTTGTCATTTAAAGAACACTATGTAAGTGGAAACTCACATTACATAACATTTAAGGATTGGCTTCGCCCCCCAACAGTCAGCAGAATTCCCCAGAGATTCATCCAAATTGTCAGGTGTATCCCTTTTATTGCTGAACAGTGTTCCGTGGTTTGGATGGACCAGTTTGTTTAACCATTCATCTGTTGAAAGATATATGGGTTGTTTCCTGTTTGGGGCTGTTTTGAATAAAACATCCATTACAGGTTTTTATATGAATATAGGTTTTCATTTCTCTGGGATTTCCTGAGAGGGCAAGTGCTGGGTCCTATGGTGGTTACATTTTGTTTTTATTGTATTTTATTGTAGTAAGAGCACTCAACGTGAGCTCTAACCTCTTCATAAATTTTTAAGTGTTACAAAGCATTATCGTTGGCTATAGATATAATGTCCAGTAGACCTCTGGAACTTACTCGTCTTGCTTGATGAATCTTGCTTTGTGCCTGTTGGCTAGTAAGCCACTTTCTCCCTTCCCCCAGTCCCTGTGAACCACCATTCTACTTTCTCCTCCTGTAAGTGGAATCCCGTAGTATTTGTCTTTCTGTGACTGGCTTATTTCACTGAGCAAATGCACTCAAAGGTCACCCGTGTTGTTACATATTGCACAATTTCCTTCTCCCACCTCCTGCCATGCATATACGCCCTATTTTCTTTATCCTTTCATCCATCCATGGACATTTAGGTTGTTCCCATATCTTGGCTATTGTGAATAATGCTGCAGTGAACGTAAGAATGTTAATACCTCTTTTGAGATCCTGATTTCGTTTCTTCTGGATGTATACTGGCACCTATGGGAGATCTATTTTTAATTTTTTGGCACTTCCATACCTGTTTCCATGGCTGATGTTATGGAATTTGCATTCCAACCCACAATATACAGGGTTGCCATTTCTCTACATCCTCATCAACACATACCGGCTTTTGTTTTTTTCATGATAGCCATCCTGATAGTGATATCTCACTATTGTTTTGATTGGTTTTCCCCTGATGATTATTGAAATGCTGTATTGTCATTACGATTCTAAATTCTTTATCCTATATTACCAGGGGGGAAATTGTTGCCCATTATTTGTCATAATATAAGCTGGTATTTATCCATACAAAGATAAAATTAATTTATTCATGCCATGAAAAATTATTTCTTGGAAATGCAATAAAGAAAAAAATCCCATGATTGGAGCTGGGTGTCAGAGAGGCAGCCTCTGGTGGCTGACCAACTGGAGGAGCAGCTTGGTAATTGTAATTAGTGCTTGGTGAGCTCCAACACAGAACCACCCTCCTGCTCTCCTCCAACTGCGTCAAACTTACTCCAGCCTCAGGACCTTTGTACTTGCTCTTCTCACTGCCAGGGACTCCCTTCCCACTCACGATTCCCTCAGTTCCCTCCAGTCACTACTCAAATATTGCTTCATCAGGGGGGCTTTCCTCTCCCAATCCATTTAGCCCAACCTCTTCTCTCTCTATCCCTGCCCCATTTTATTTTTCTTCCTGGAACTTAACACTCCTGACTAATTATGTGTTTATTTGGTTGCTTCCCCACTGGCACGGGAGCTCCATGAGAGCGCTGCTTTTGTATCATCAGGACCTAGGACAGTGCCTGGCACACATTAGGTGCTCAATAATTAATTGTTTATGGGTGGGGAGGCACATAGCCAAATCACGGAGTCCCTGATAGGGTGAGGCATAGGAATCTGGACTTCAACCATGAGGCACTGGGGAGTAAGGAGATGTTTGCTAATTCGTTTTCTTATTGTTTACATTTTTTAAAATGTTTTTACATGCAAAAAAACTCACCCTTTTTGGTGTACAGTTCTATGAGTTTTGATAAACGAATACAGCCATGTAACCAATACTACAATCAAAATATAGAACAGTTTCATCTCCCCTAAGTTTCCCTTGTTCCTCCATCTGCAGCCCCTGGCAACCATTGGTCTGTTTTCTGCCCCTATAGTTTTGTCTTGTTGAGTATGTCATACTGATGGAATCATCCAGTAGGTAGCCTCTTGAGTCTGGCTTCTTTCGGTTAGCCTAACGCATCTGAGGTTCTTTCATTTTGTGTGTATCTGTAGTTAATTCCGTTTTATGGTTGAGTAGTCATCTCTTGCATGTATGGACCCCAGTTTGTTTAACCATTTCGCAGGTGAAGAATATTTGCGTTGCTTCCAGGTTTTAGTCATTACGCATAAAGTCGCTATCGCTCTTCCCGTACAGATATTTTTAAAAACAGAGATATAATTCACCCACTCTACAAGTCACCCTTTAGAGTGTGCAGTTCAGTGAGATTTATCCCCTTCACAGAGTTGTGCAACTGTCACCACCGTCTAGTTCCAGAACATTCTTGTCACTCCAGAAGGAAACCCCACCCCCTTGAACAGTCAATCTCCCTCCCCCTCCCCCAGCCCCTTAGCAACCACTAAATGTGCTTTCTGTCTCTGTGGACTTGGCGCTTCTGAACATTTCATATACATGGAATCACGCACTAGGTGGCCTTTTGTGTCTGACTGCTTTCACACAGTGTGGTATTTTCAAGGCTCATCCACGTTGTGGCAAGCATCAGTGCTTCATTCCTTTTATATGACTGGATAGAATTCCATTGTATAAATGGACCACAATTTCTTTTTTTTTTTTAAGGAAAAAATTTTTTAAGGTTTTATTTATTCATTTAACAAAGAGGGAGAGTACAAGCAGGGAGAGCACCAGGCAGAGTGGGAGGGAGAAGCAAGCTCTCTGCTGAGCCAGGAGCCGGATGTGGGACTCCATCCCAGGACCCTGGGATCATGACCTGAGCCAAAGGCAGACACTTAATGAACTGAGCCACCCAGGTGTCCCACGAACCACAATTTCTTTATCCATTCATCCACCGACAAACATCTGGGTTGTTTCTACTTTGGGGCTATTTTGAATAATGCTGTTATGGACATTCACATACAAGTCTTTACGGGCACATACATTTTTCAATACTCTCCACCTCGGAGCGAACATTTCGGGGTCATATGTTAACTCTATGTTTAACTTTCTAAAGAACTGCCAAACTGTTTTCCAAAGCAGCCGCACCATTTTGCATTCCCACCAGCAGTGTATGAGTGTTCCAGTATCTCCACATCCTGGCCAGCAATTTGCTATTTTCTGTCTTTTTTTGTTGTGATCCTGGGGTCCAGGGATTGAGCCCCGCATTGGGCTCCCTGCTCAGTGGGGAGTCTGCTTCTCCCTCTCTCCGCCCTTCCTCCAACTCGAGCTCTCCCTCTCTCTCAAATAAATAAGTAAATAAATAAGATCTTCAGAGGGAGAAAGAATCTCAAGCAGACTCCATGCTGAGCACGTAGCTGGACATGGGGCTCAATCTCATGACCCTGAGGTCATGACCTGAGCTGAAACCAAGAGTCAGAGGCTTAACTAACTGTGCTACCCAGGCGCCCCTATAGGAATGTTCTAATCCATTTTCCAGAGTGGCTGGACTTTTTGCAACACCACCAGCAATTAATAAGAGCTCCAGTTCCCTCACATCCTCTCCAATACTTGATATTGTCAGGGTTTTTTTTTTTCTTTTAAATCATCCCAAGGAGGTCTTTAAAGCCTAATCATAGTCACATTCTACAAGATGGCCTCACACACTGGGCGGAGGAGAGTTGATGAGACTAGGAAGAACGTGATGGTCCAGGCCAGAGAGAGTGGGAATGAGGGAAGGGGAAGATCCCAGAGCAGTTCAGTGGGGGTGGGGTGTGGTAGTGGAAAAGGCTGAGCAGGAGAAGAAAGTGGAGGGACAGGAGAGACCCAAAGGAAGAATAGTGTGGAGCACCCGGTTGAGGACTTTTGACCCCCAGGTGTTCTGCCCAAAAGGATTCTGGGTCTTAATAAGGTTGGCAGCTGCTACATTGTATCTACCCATTGAGGATTCATGGTGAACATTAGCATGCTAACTGCTCTGAAAAAGTCCTGCAATAAAGAATTCTGTTTGGTATTATTTAACCGACTGTTCTCTAACTTACACCTTGGATCACTTTTCTTAAGCTGTAACATCATCAATCATCATCATCACCTTCAATGTACATCTGGGGACCTCTTTAGCTTGTTCGCCCAGTTATTATGCTCCCAGTGCCTAAAACTGGCTTAAACCAAATGGTTAAAAAATTTTTCTTTGGTTGCATTAATGGTCTCGTTAGATCTTCAGAATGATTCGATGAGTTAGGTACTAATATAACTTCCATCTTACAAACGAGGCTTACAGAAGTCAGGTGACGTGTCTAAGGCACAAAGCTGGTGGGTGGATAGGTGGTATTTGAGCTGGGATCTGCTTGCTGTCTCCCCATCACCCTGCCTGTCTCTGGAAGGGACCCCATACCCCCAGCTTCACCCAGTCATGACAGATGTGGTCTGCTGTTCTGGGACCTCCTGCAGTCCTTCTTGTCCTGGTAGCCATGAACGTACTCGGAGAGCTCAGCTGTAACTTGATCTTACCAGACTGGGGGTGACAGGGCGGGTGGGCAGGTGACGCCAGGGCAGGGAGATTTGCCCAGACACTGGTGTGCAGCCGCCTGGAAGCCTGTGTGGTCCTGAGGAGACTGGGGAGCTTCGGGAGTTTGTCTCAGAGTCTTGGCAGTGGTCTTCACCATGGGCAACAAGCAGACAGTCTTCACTCATGAGCAGCTGGAAGCGTATCAGGTAGGGGAGATGGGCTGGACCCTCAGGAGGTTTGGCAGCCTTGGCTTCCTGGCCTGAGAAGTGGGGACAGCATCATTTGTCCTGGGTGTGCAGCCAACAAGCATTCCTGGTGTAGCTCTGTGTGCAAGAACAGGCAGAAATGGCCGTGCAGTGGGAGGGAGAGGAAGGTGGCCTCTGAGGCAGGCTCTGGGCCAAGCCAACATCTCTCTCTGCAGGACTGCACCTTCTTCACAAGAAAGGAAATCATGAGGTCAGTCTGGGGAGAAAAGGAGGAAGATCTGGAAACACCTTTCTCTCCTTCGCTGGAGGATGTTTGCCATTGACCAGGACTGAGTGCCCCATGGTGGTTAAAACACAAAGGGAGGGATTGCGGGCATGGTCAGTGGACGGAGGCCGAGATGGGGATGCTGAGAAGCCACATCTTGTCACATCGTCACTGTCTCTAGGTTGATTAGCTTGGGCTTTCTCCCAAGGGTTGTGGGGAGCCATGGAGAGTATGTGAGCAGGGGTGGGGAGGGGTGGGGTGGGGTGGGAAGGACAGATCTGCATGTTAGAAAGATCCCCCCTGAGGCCAGTGTGAGGAGGCTGGGACTAGAGGCTGGGCACCTGGGGGCAGAGGCTAGAAGCAGCTGTGGGTTGCGGGGGTGGCATCCAGGTAAGGGTGCGGGTAGGCAGTCTGTGGCCACTGCAGGTTGTTAGCATGAGCTAGAGAAGCATAGATGGGTATCCCACGTTACTGCTCAGTGCCCACGCAGCCATTGTCCTGAGGCCCCGACCCATGAACTCGGAGCTATGAAACCCAAGCCGGCCGGGGTTCAGATACAGAGTGATAGGGGCCAAGGCCCGAATTGTGTGGGCACGGAATATCCATTATTGATGGGCACACCTTTCACCAGTGAGCCCCATTGTCTGGGTGAGGACAGCTCATAGGGTCACCCTGGCCATCACGATCAGATTACTGATGGGGAAACTGAGGCTTGGACAGGGAAGGCTGACCCCAGCTCTGCAGATGGGCAGAGCTCCAAGGAGTTAGAGGGCTGACATTTCGTCCACCCAAGCTTCTTGTTTATCAGCAGAATAACTCAAGCTTAGAGGGGAAGAGGAAAATGCTCACGGCCATGCGGAAGCCCAGACCCAGACTGTTCCCTGAGGGGGCCTGGACAGGGACCTGGGTGGTCAGGACTGAAATCCCAGATACCTCCTCCTTGAGTTCCTAGCCATCATATGACTCAGGGGCTCCCATCTCCCTTGGAATCAACCCTTAGCAGCTTGGGGACCTCTGACTCACCAAGGATAGTCTCACCAAGGCTGCTGCTTTTCATGCCTCCAGTGAAGATAGGGTGACAGCAGGTGAGGACATTGGAGTGGAGAGCTCACCTCACCAACTAGGTGGTGTCGGTGGCATTTGGTATTTTGCAAAATGTCTTGCATGCATTAAAAAAACCCTAATATTGGCCTTTTGTCTCTGCTCTGGCCCAGTTAAGGAATGCTTGCATTATGGGGTGAAAGAAGGAAAATGTGAGAATGGGGGGGGGGTCTCTAGAGCCAGTGGCCAACAATGTGATGATACTCAGAGATTCAGAGATTCACTCAGACTCTCTGAATTTTGATGTGAAACGATCTCACCTTAAGCACACTCCCTTTTGCCATCCCCACCTGCCTGGTCAGCTCCTACTCATTCTTCAAAGCCCAGTATCAATCTCCCCACTGAGTTTCCCCTAGCTCTGGGGCCCTCTCCACTATGGCCCTGTCCCCAGGGGGTAGATGTGCCTATGTTTGGCTCTGTGTGTTTGAGGACTGGGCCCAGAGCTGATGACTCTTGGGGACCCACGATCCTTCAATCCTCCCGTGTGGAGTGAGCAGTGGCAAGAATGAGAGAAAGGGGACAAGTCCTCCCCATGCCATCTCCCAGCCCTGCCCGGTGTTTCCCTCCCCATACCAGGCTCTTCTATCGCTACCAGGACCTGGCTCCCCAGCTCGTTCCCCTCGACTACACCAGCAGCCCTGATGTGAAGGTGCCCTACGAGCTCATCAGCAGCATGCCCGAGCTGAAGGTATCCGCGGGCCATTGGGCAGGCAGGGAAAAAATAGTAAGGATACCTGCTGTGGCATTCCTATAAAGTGGATGCATTTTACAGATGTAAGAAGTGAGGTTCAGAGAGGTTAAGAAACTTGGTCATGGTCACACAGCTAGGATGTGACAGAGACAGGATTCAGACCGGGGGTCGTTGGAACAATGGGATGAGATAATGCTGGTGAAGGGCTTGGCACGGGGTCTACGGCATGGCAAGTAGTCAGGGAACGTGTTCTTTTTTTCATAGCAAGGGCCGCTAAAAAGGCAGGTCCTTCTCAGCTGGATGTTTGTCACATAGTTTGTGCTGCCGAAGGGGATTTGTGGGCTGAGTGACTGAGCAGAGATGATTTTACCACAAGGGACAGAGACCTCATTGGAGAGGGACAAAATATATTGGAACACCGGAGGAGAAACCCCAGGGGGCAGAGCTATTACCAGGTCTGGCTGGAACCCGGGTTTCTGAGGGTGTGCTCAGGAGTCTCCCTCCATCTCTCAGCTTCCCCCAGGAAGGGGCTTTAGTCTCAGGCAGCCTGTCTGCCCGAGGTGGTGAAGGGAAGCCCCGGTGGTCCCAGATCCCTCCTGCCAGTTCTGCAACCACCGGAAACCAGGTCCCTCCAGCTCCATCTTCCAGGGCAGCCTCTGATTGTCCAGTTTGAGTCATGCTACCTACCCCAGAACCAATCATGGTTGCCAATGGTAGCGCTGTCTGATTGGCCTCAACCAGGTCACGTGGTTCCATCTGGAGCCACAAGTGGGGTGAAGGACACCCAGACCACAGGTCCAGAGCAAGGAGTTGCCTGAAGGCCACGGTCGGGAGGAAGTTTGAAGGTGGGGGGTAATTGAAGGTTTCAGGAAGGCGGGTGCTGAGAGCGTTTCCATAGGGAGCCTGGAGTCCTGGGTCAGGGATGGCCTCCCGGCTTCCTGCCTCCAGGACAACCCATTCCGCCAGAGGATTGCCCAGGTGTTCTCTGAGGACGGGGACGGGCACATGACCTTGGACAACTTCCTGGACATGTTTTCTGTGATGAGCGAAATGGCTCCCCGCGACCTCAAAGCCTATTATGCTTTTAAAATTTATGGTGCGTGCAGGGCATGGGGGTGGGGGAGCGTGGGAGTGGGGTGGGGAGTGGGAACAAGACCCTGCCTGGGGCCAGGGGCTGCGCTGCCATCACTGATGTCTCCCCGGGGGTTTCGAGGCCCTGTGTGGCCCTGTCCTGCACACTTGGTACTTGCTCTCCTCACCCCTTTACTTACTCCTTTCCAGCCACACTGGCCTTCCTCTTCCTCCAGCACTCCAAACTCTTCCTCCCTCCCGGCCTCTGCATCTGCTGTTCCCTCTGCCTGCCAACACCTTTTCCTTGACTCCTGCTCATCTTGAAGTCTAGGTCAAAAGCAGTAACACCCTCAATCACTCTCCACCCCATATCCTAGTTCCCTCCCAGCACAGAGCAGTGCTGCTTAATTTCTGTTAATAATCTGTTCATTTCTTATGGATTTCTCTCTGATGAGACCCAAGGGCAGCAACAGTGTCTGTTTTCTTCCCCATTGGTCTCTCATGCCTGGCAAAAAGTAGGTGCTCAATAAATACTTGTTGACTGACTGAGTGAATGGAAATCTATCACAGTGCCTGGAACATAGTAGGTGCTCACTAAAAACCTGTTGAATTAACGGAACTTTGTCACAGATAAAGAACATAATAGGCACTCTCTAAATCCTTATTGAGTGAGTAGATGAAAAACAGTCACATATGCCTGGCACATAGTAGGGGCTCAATAAATACTTGGGGAGTGAATGAATGACCTCCCACCAGGACTCTGCTCAATTCCAAAGCAAGACCCGGCTATTATCTCAGGGTCTTGGGTTCTCTCCAGTGCCTCAGTTTGCTCCTCTGTAACATGGGGTCAAGAGGCCCAACCTGCCTGTGCCCGGCTGTGCCCCCACTCCATATCCCCTCCATCCCACTGCACAGACTTTAACAATGATGGCTACATCTGTGAGTGGGACCTGGAGCAGACAGTGACCAAGCTGACGCAGGGGGAGCTGAGTGCTGAGGAGGTGAGCCTGGTGTGTGAGAAGGTGCTAGATGAGGCCGATGGCGACCACGATGGGCGGCTGTCCTTGGAAGACTTCCAGAACATGATCCTGCGGGCACCTGACTTCCTCAGGTGTGACACTCCTTGCCACTTTGCATGTCTGAGAGGGGCTCCTACAGAACTAGTTCACAGACTCCATTTGTGAAAGTTCCTCTGTTCATTCATTTGTGACCTTGGAGAACTTTCCCAGCCTTCCTGGCCTCGGTCCCTGCATCTTTAAAATGGGGATATTTGGGGACCCTGTGAGTGACGCCCTGTGGGTGGATGCAGCTCTTCGGGTGAATGCAACATGGCTGGTCTTCAGCTCTCTCTTGCCTGAACATTTGGCAGTGAACAGAGTGTACAACTGTACTAGGCAGTCCTGGAGAGGATCAGAGCCCCCATCATAGGGCTGATAGCCAGTTAATACAGGGGGTGGCCCAGCCACCTGTTTTTGTACCTCCCGTGAGCAAAGAATGATTTTTATGTTTCTTAAATGGCGGGGGAAAGATTAAAGACTAACAGTGCTCTGTGACTCATGAAATGGATATGAAATTCAAATTTCCGTGTCCAGCAGTGGTTTATTGGCACACGGCCAGGCCTGCTTGTACTTGGATCGGCCATGGTTGCTTTCGAGCTACAAGGCCCAGCAGAGTCCTTGCACGAAGCTGGAAATACCAACCATTTGGCTCTTTATGGGAAAAGTTGGCCGATCCCTGAGTTAGTATGTGGAAAGACTTTACGGCAGGGTTGGCACACAGTAGATGCTCAATATCTATGTGCTGGGGTTGCAGCTGTGGCTATTACTACGTGTCCTGACATGCACAGAGGGCACCCCCACCACCTGGAGAAGCACGGCTGGTCTCTTAGCGTACAGAGACACGAAAATGACAACTGAATGAACCCTACGGAAGACAGCATCTCTGTGTGGCAGTGCCCTGTGCATTTGCCCCCTTGGCCGTCATTATAGCCCCAAGCAGAGGGATGGCTATTATCCCCATTTTATAGAGAAGTAAACTGAAGCCCAGGGGTAGCCACTCACTCAGAGTCCCACAGCAAGTCTGCGGTGGAGTCAGAATGTCAACTCCCGTCCAAAGAGGTGTGCTTTCCACCCCTGTGGGGGTTGAGCGGGGGCCACAGCCTGGGGTTCTTGAGGGGATCCATCTCCTGCTGTGGTTCCTGGCCTCAGGGAGTCCCTGCAGGAGAGTTCGGGGATGCGGGGTGGGGGGACAAAGGAGGGCCACCTTCTCTGCCTGAAGACTGACTCTCCTTCTTTTTGCACCCAGCACCTTCCACATCCGCATCTGAGCGCACCATGGAGGAGAAGCCAGGTCAGAGGAGGACAGGGTGACCCCTCACTCCACGGTGGAATCCGGTCTCCCTGGGTTCCAGGAATAAACACACATCATTGAGTCACATCTGCTTGGAGGACACGTGTTTCACCTTAAACCTGCCGGATGGGAGAGAGGAAGCCTGGGCTCTCACCTCTGCCCTCACTGCGTGACCCTGGGTGGGGCTGTGCCCTCTGAACCCTGATCTCCGCATTTATACTAGGGAGTGGCTGAATTCTAGATCTCTGTCCAACGTGAGGGCTGGAGGTGCACTGGTGGCTGTGAGTTTTGGGGGGCAGAGACCAGATGTGGAGATCACGCCCATGGGATCTCACTCCCGGGCCTCCCAAGGCTGAACCCTGCCTCCAACCTCTCAAGCCTCCTCTTTCCTCCCAATCCTTGAGCTTCTCAAAGGGACCAAAGCTTTAACTCCATGCTCATTCATTAGAACAGCCAGAGGAGGTCTCTGGGGGAGGTGGCAGCAATGTCATTCACTGAGGCTGGCACTGTACAGTTTACGAAGCACTTGTCTCTCTGCCATCGCATTGGCTGCCTGTGGCATCCCGGCAGGGTTGACTGAGAAGCAATCACACTTCATTCGGAGGGAACGGGCTTATTAGCCCAAGGCCACACCTCATGTCATCTGTAAAGGCAGCCTTGAGCCCAGGCCCACCTCTTTCCAGATCCCAGAATATCTACACTTTGAGGATTTGAGAAGCCCCACACCCACTCCACCACATCTGGGGGCTCACCTAGAGCCCCAGTAATTCCAGGGAGGGATGGTCATTCCTGGAATTGAAACGAGCTACCACGCCCCTTCCCAGACCCTTTCACTGTGTGTCACTGCCCCCCGCACCCAGCTTCCACTTACTAAGCACCTACTCTGAGCCAAAGCCTCAGTTTTTATGTGCATCCTTTTGGTTCATCCTGAGGAAGAGGGATTGCTGCTCTCCCCATTTTCCAGATGAGAAAACAAGCCCAGAGAGGTGTAGGAACTCACTAGATGTCACACAGTCTTGTGACCTGGGATTTCCTCCAGATCCCACTGCTAACCATGACCCTGGGCTGGCTGTCTTCTTCTTTAAACGGGCTCATATGCTTCTCCTAAATCTGATGTTGGTGTTGGAAGCGTGTACCGTGTGCCAAGCCCTCTCCAAGTCTCACCTCCTTCATTTGCATGAGAACCCCAGGAGGAAGGTGTGAACAGCTCTGTTTATAGGCAACGATGTACTTAGGGGTGAGCCAGGGGCAGCGGATGTAGGGAAAGGACTCCAACTGACTGGGTTTCAAATCCTGGCACTGACCCACTATAACTGGGTGATCTTGGCTGTGCCTCTCCTCCTCTCTGACCCTTAGTCTCTTCTTTAAAATATGCAGCATGAGCCTACCTGCTGGGCCTGCTCAGAGGCGGAACAGAAATAATGAATGTGGAGGCTTTGGCGTGGGGCCTGGCACACAGTATGTGCCCTAGACCCTTCCTGTAACTGGTTATTATTACTCAAATCACCAGGTCACCCCACTGGCAACTGCAGGACCAGACCCAAGCAATGTCTTTATTACATTTCTCAGTTCCTGAGGACTGGTGGGTAAATAACAAGGGGTCCAGTGTGAGCAACCCCCAGAGCCAGGACAAAGCTCTTCTTTAACAGTACCCAGGGGCAAAGGGTGGTGGTGGGTGGTACTCCTCAGGGAGCCAGTCCTTCTGGGATTCTGCCAAGTCCTTTGTCTCTGGTCTGGACACTTTTGAGGACAGGGCCCTCACTACCGCTTGGTGCCAACCCTTGACCCTCGGGGTTGCCTCGCTCCAGCTGGCCAATCTTGAGGCCTTCCTGGATGGGTTGGCTCTGTCTCTCCGATCCTGGGGCCATGAGGGGCTTGCAGGGGACATGGCCACTGAGCTGTCTGTGTCAACATTACCTTCCCAGTGTGTGTCACCTGGCGTGGTCCTTGAGCTGTGTGTCACTGTTGGTGGCCCAGCACTCCAGAGCGATGACAAGTTCATAGATGGCAGGTGGGATGTCAGCTGCTGCTGGACCCTCTTGCCTGTCTCAGGGAGTGTCTTGAGGTTCCTCCAGAGTTTCCGGCAGGCCTTCTCAAGAGGAGCTTTTGGGGGGCAGGAGGAAGTGGCTTCCTCCGTGGAGACTCTGTCCATCTGTGCTCGTGGCTCCCTTCCCTTTGGCCAGTGAAGCAGGACCGGGCTTGCTGAGGTCTGAAACCAAGAGCAGGTAAGACCTGGGCCATCCCACCCACCAGAGCTCTGAATCTGTCCTGGAGGTTGGGACATGGGTCCCACTCAGACATCTGGAGGGGTGAGAAGGACTCCAAGTGAACCCCAAACCTGATCCCATGCCCCCTCCCCATCCGCATGAACACCTTCATTATCTACCCCAGAGACTGGCAAACTCTTTTCATAAAGGGCCAGAGAGTAAATATTTTTAGGTTTCTTGGCCACACAGTCTCTGTTCTGAGGCAACTGAGATGGTTCGTCAATGAGTGTGCATGCCTGCATTCCAACAAAACTTGATGGTTGTGGAAATTCCACTTTCATCTGATTTTCACAGCTCATGAAATATTACTTTTATTTTTATGCTTTTCGACTGCTCAAAAACATGAAAGCCCTGCTTAGCTCATGGGCCAGACAGAAACAGGCCAGATGGGGTCCTCAGGCCCTGATCTACTTGGTCATTCAGGTGACCTTGGCGGCAGATGCTGACAATGCCCCATCCATCTCCCTTTGCCCTGAGCACTCAGTGCCCCCAGCTCCACTCCCAAAGGCCAGCAGAGGGGACTCTGGCCGGGGTCCTTCTATGAACCCACGGCAGGCCAGAAGTGCAGAAAATTAAAATCTCCCAGGAGCAGCACTTGACCAAGTACTAATGGGAGATGGAGTATCAATACCCCAACTCCTTACCCCTAAGGTGGGATAACCGGTGTGCATGTCCCATGCAGAGTTCTAGCTTTCCTGGGGGAGACCAAACCCTGGCTGCCCACAGGGGAACCTGCTCCCTAACACGCCCTTCATGGGCTGCCCTCTTCTGTCCCACTTCCCCGCTCCCCTACTGGCACATCTTGGGATCACCTCCCAAATAATGGAGGCCCCAGGGACTCAAACCATGACAGCAGCTCGCTTCCCCTCACCCCCCACCTCCAGATTCCCTTCTAAAATGCCTCAAATATCCTCTTCTTGCTCTACCCCCAGGGATCCTTTTCTGGTCCCTCCCAGTCTCTGCCTTGGACAGTCCCTGCCTCCTTCCTGCCACCTCCTTACTGCCACCAGGCAGCCCCTCCTGCAGTTGGCAGCCACAGGCTCTCTCATTGCAACTCCCCCTGCACAACTGGACTAGAATGCCAGCTCCTCACCCAGGCCCCAAGGCCCTGCATGACTGGCTCCTGCTGTTCCTGGTCCCTCGCCTCCCAGGGACCTCCCTTTCATTCACCCCACTCCATACACATACTGGCTATTGTTGTTCTTTTGATTTGCAAATACACTGAGCCTCAGGACCTTTGTATGTGCTCTTTTCTCTGCCTGAAACACCCTCCCTGCATAGCTGTGTGTGACTGACTCCTCCTTATCCTATGCATCCCAGGTCTATACCATCTCTCCCAGGAGGTCTTCCCTGACTGTTCCCTTCACCACTTAGCTCCACACCCACTGATGTTCATCCTACCAGCCTGTTTCATTGCCACTATTATCAGAACTTCCCTGCCATGTGGGGGCATGGAGAACACCACTATCACAGTCTGATAGGGGAGGCAGGCAGGAAACATGAAAATGCACAAATTTTTAATCCACAAAAAGACTTTTTAAATTGTGAGGAGAGCTCTGCAGTGAATAAACAGGGTGAGGGGATGGAGAATGCAGAGGGGACTACTTCCAATCTGGAGTCTGGGGAGGGAGACACTTGAAGAATTGAAGAAAGAAGCCAGGCATAGGAAATCTGGGAGCAGAGCACACACAGCATGTGCAAAGGTGTGTGGCACCTGAGGTGGGTGGCACCAACATGTGCAAAGGTCCTGAGGTGGGACCAGCACATGCAAAGGTCCTAAGGCTAGCTTGATGCATCAGAACAACAGAAAGGATAACAGAGAGGCTGGAGCTGGGCTGGTGCTGGGCACAAGGAGTAGCTGAGGTCACAGTTTGGATTTTCATTGCAGTGTCTTGAAAAATCACTGGAAGGTTTTATACTTGGAGTTATAGGGTCTAATTTTTCACTCCAGAAAGTCTCCTCTGGCAACTGTTGGCCACTTCTGCCCCTGCCCCACCCCTGCGTTAGAGATGCGAGCTTTCTGTCACATACCTTCTCAGGTGCAGCCCTGGGATAGGAGGAGGAAGGATTCTGATGTTCCCTGGGGACATGGGCGGGGCTGGTGACTTCCTCAGTCAGTGCATTGGAGTAAAGGAAGAGATCCTCATAATCCAAGTTCTCTGGATCCTTCTGTAGGGCAGAGGGCATATACTGCTCAGCCCCAAAAGGGAGATGGGGGTGGTCCCAGGGTCCCAGACAAACCCTAGAAGGTGGCGCTGAGGGCTGCCTTGCCCATGAACCTTGTATGGAAGCCTGCCCCTCCCACAGTAGCTTCCGAGGGTAGGAGCACCCCGCCCCCCCCACTGCCATCCCCTTCCACTCCCATGAGCCTTATAAGGAGATATATTATTCCTATAGATCAGCCAAGGTTATACCCCCACAAACGAACCCTTGTAACAAATTAGCCTGGGGGGCAGGGGTGAGGCAGGGAAGGAGGACCAGAAGGGGTGGGGCTGTGGGAGGGCAGGGACCACAATCATGACAGAATCACAAGAGGCTGAATGGGGAGCATGGGAACAAAATGAGTCTGGGGGCTTGGCCCCTGCGAGGGCAGCTACAGTCCCCCAGGGGTTCCAACCCTTACCTGCCCACAGGGCTGGGTCAGCAGGTCCCTGTGGGGCCGCACAGGCTGCTGCTGGTGGAATGTGACCAGGGCGTCCAGTGAGGCATG